GTGATCCACACAGTCAAAAGCCTTTGCATAGTCAATGAAGCAGAGATAGACATTCTTCTGGTATTCTCTGCTTTCTGCCAAGATCCATCTTACATTAGCTATAATATCCCTAGTACCATGACCTCTTCTAAATCCAGCCTGCACATCTGGTAGTTCTCTGTTGACATATTGTTCCAAATGTTTTTTTAGTTAATCTATTTTCAACCATACTCTTCCTAAAGGCAAACTGCCTTCACCTGGGCTTGTCTGAGCTAGCCACATTGCTAGAGGAACAGCCACCAAGCACTGGGGATATAACATAAAGCACTCAAATGACTCCTGGGCCTATGTAAATAGAGCTAGAACTTCCAATGTAGACCACAGGTTCCCACAAAATGTTTTAGAATTTAAGCTTGAACACATCTCTTTTCCTGCTGCCAAAGACAACTGAAAATTATGGGACAGTATGTGTAAAACAAACATAGGGCAGCTCTGGAAGGGGGTGAAAGGAGGTAGCAATCAGTAGTTAGCACTGACAATGCCATGTTATCTTCTTATAGCCAATGCATGTGTGCTATATGTATGCTATATATTGATGATTTAAGACGGACTTCTCTTCTTACCTGCTGTTGTTGTTGTTGTTGATTGCCATCGAGTCAAGCACAACTCATAGTGATTCTATGAACAAAAGACCTGATGTCTTTCCATAACTATCATCATTTCTCCAAGTTCATAGTTTCCAGAAGTATGTGATTTAGAAAGTGGATGCCACTCCTGCTTCCAAACCTGTTTTACAACTGGAATCTCTACCAAATACTGTCCACAATGGGAAACCATTCTGGCATTTGATACCCCAATGACACAAGGTTCAGTCCCAGTAACCCAGGTTAATTCATACAGGGCATTGACAAAAGTGATGTGCAAAGTGGAAGAGTGTTCCTCCAGATATAACAGCACTGGTCTCATTTAGCAGTGGTTAAGTGTTGTCAAGTCGAATACTACTCAGAGTAAGCTTTTTACAAAAGACCTGAACTCTTCTATAACTAACATAAATTCTGTACATTTACAGAGTTTAGAGAGTTTGTAGAGTTTCTGGAGGCATCTAGTTTAGGAAGTGGATGTCACTTCTGCTTCCTAGCAAGAGTCAATCTGGAAGCTCATCCAAACACTGTACATAATGAGTAAACTTTATGGTATTTGACATGACTGTGGAACAGTGTTCAGCGTCACAGGAACTCCAAGTTGTCCAGTATAGCAAATAGACAAATGATTGCTGTGTCTTTAAAGAATATTTATTCTAAAATTAATAAATTTGGTTCGAGGGCCAGCAGGCCTCCATTTATGATGAAAAGTTCAAGGGCCACCCACTTTGCAGGGGGGGAGAGAGCAGTAGCAAACAGCAAACATGACCCTAAAAACTTCCTTTACATAAACACCATCAAGACAAGCTTGCCATCAAGATGCCAGCTAGCAGCCAATTCCTGGAGTGGAGGGAGACTCAAAGGCCCCCAGCTGCCTCACAGACCCATCCCCTCATTATAGATTCCAAAACCACACCCTCCAGCAGGCCTCCCTCCATGGTGAAAGGCTCAAGGGACACCGCTTTGGGGGGGGGGTGCAGGGAAGAGCAGTAACAAACATCAGACATGACCCCCAAAACTTCCCTTACGTGAATGCCATCAAGACAAGCCCTCCATCCAAGGGATAGTGAAATGCTTGGG